ATGAGAGTGTTCATTGTATCGAATTAAAAGTTCAGTAGGCGAATATGTACTAAGGTAGTATAGAATGAAACCTATGAGCAAAAGTGCGTAAGATATAAAAAATCTCGAATATTTCATGTCTTCATGTTTTGTTTACCTGTAATGATTTCTTGCACTTCAACAGAAGGTAGAAGAGTTTCTGATGAATTATCGGAAATACCAATGTGTTGTGATGGTAAACTCTCAGCAGTATTGATAGTCAAACAATCGTTACTATCGTTATGTTTATAAACAGAAAAGCACGTCGTGGTTGCTACGTTATTCATAACTAATGCATCGTCACTGATCTTGAATTTGATAAAAGATGGTGGTGGTGATTGAGAAATGCGTTTAATCACAGAATTTGCTTGTAATCGATTTATATCATCAATGTCATTTTGTCTGATTAATTCGTTTTGCTCACAGTGAATATAGGACATAACATTGTTTTTATTATTTTCATTTGTTAATGAAGACTGAATTTTATCACTAGTTGCTAAATGTTCACTGATCGAATTAGAAATTTCATTTTCATTTAACTGATTGAATGAGAATGAAAAATTATTATTATTATTAGACAACAAATCATTTTGTTTTATCTTATTATTTCGTTTACTAAAAGTTTCATCAACAGAGTGAATATACGAAGTTAGATTTATTCGATCAAAATCATCGTCATTATTATATTCTCGAAAAGAGTTTTCTTTAATACATTGATTAACAGCAACAATATCAGACAATGGTTGAAACGGAAAATAATGATCAATATACAATGGAATAATCGAGATACACGGTTCATTTGACGTGGGTATTGAGACATTTTCATCATTATCATCACTACATGTATCCGAGAAACTCATGTGTTCATTAACGTTATTATCATCTTTGTTAAACGATGGTGAATGTTGTGGAGAAACAATTAAAAGAGTTGCCATATAATTTAAATATTCTTGTATTTGATCTGCATCATCATCATTATTATCACCACCACCACCATCATTTTTCATACGTTTATTCTTATTATACCAACCAAAATGTTTGAGTCGCTTCTTTCTGGCTGCTAACAATAACTTAAACTGTTCAAATACTTGTTTAACCTGTTGTACTTCTATATCTGAGTGTGAATTATTCACAGACGTTTCATATTCTTTTATTATAACTTGATTATCATTACGATCAAAATGATTGTTGTTATTATTAATTTCTATTGATAATTGTTTTCGTTTAAGAGATATCACATCAATTTTTCTCCAGTCTCTATCCATAAGTGGTGGAATATATTCGTCATTATTACTGAAACTATCAACATCTTCTTCTTCTTCTTCTTCTTCATCATCTGGTAGATAACGATAATTATTCAATTGTTTTTTAAATTCATTGATGTTTATGGATAATTCCATTTTTAATTTTAAACAATTAAATTTATCTGTACCAAACCAAAATGCTTTAAGATGATTGATGATAATTTCTGTTATTATTCGATGTCCAACAGAACACCAATGTATACCATCAACTTTTCTTAAATGAAGCAATTGATAAAAATGTTTATATAAATCAATATATAAAACACCGTACAATGGACATTTCTAAACATAGATATAAAAGCTCATTCAGTAGTTAAATTTGACTGCACTATTTCTCTTACTTCTCGACAATAACGATTAGCATCGCGAATCTAGAATAATAACACAAGAAAAATAAATACAATAATAATTTATATTCGAAAATTCAAAGTCTCGAAACAACAACGTACTAATCCTGGTAATATTGGTCGAACCCATTCAGCTGATTTAAGCATGACACCTCCTTTCGATGTTCTTGATACTGAAATAAATACTAAAATATAATTAGATCCACTATCGATAAAAAACAAAAGAAAAATAATAACAAAAAATGTATTTATTTACCTGGTAATGCTGAAAGCCAAATTAATAGAGCATTTGGAAGAAATCGACGTAATTTTTTCAAGAATATAATAAAATTTTGTTTATATTGTTTCATTGATTTCACTCCATATCTGAAATGAAAAACATTACGTAATAAAACAATGAAATTTTTCTTTTTTCTTTTATTTTCATACCGACTAATATCCCATAAACATGAATTCATAATAACAATATCGGGTTGTATCACTTGTTTTCCAATTTGCTTTAAAATAACACGTTTTGAATATACAGAATAACATTTTGTTAGAAAATAGTAGCGTAAACGATGTTGTCCACGCGATGTATATTCTCGAACCTTAGAGAAAAAGTGAACATTTAGTCAAAATAAAAATTAATGTTTTGTTACTCACTTCTTCATAACCAACTCCATTTGTTAGTCCTTTCAGTTCACCACCATCTTTTAAACAATCATTTGCAAATGTACGCTCTCCCTTAAAGATAAATATTATAGTCATTGCAAATTCTTGTACTTTGTTTTTATTAGGATACTTTTGCTTGTAAATCGCTTTGATCTAATAAAAGATCTGTTTGCAAAAATTGAACCATATCTTTGTACATTCCTCGTACCACTAGAAAATAAATAAAAGAAATAATCAAATTTTTATTTTATAGGAAGTTCGACTAAAATGTAGAATAAAAATGAATTTTAAATAAGAACGGGAACGATAAACTTACCCGAATCTCCTAAAAACACGACATATTTGTCTTTCAATAATGTCTGAATCTCTGTGGACGTTATTTTGTCGATTACTGAAGTCATTTTGTTTCATTAGCCAGTTATAACTCTAAATTTCCAAAAATAATCGATATTACACAATACTTGTCATTGTAACATTTGGTAATCTCAAATGATGAATACAACTAGTATGCATTTTTTAAAAGAATGCGTATAAATATTTTTCGAATAACTGTCAAAAGAAAAGTACTAGAAACCTTCGAAAGAAGTACGAGAAGCTTCAACTACACCAAAAATCGAAAATCCATATTGCATTTAAAAACCGTTTTGAATAATTCAAAAGTTTTAGAATAGGCTCGGTTTTATATGCTAAATATTGGTCTACAACTGAGAAACGAAATAACTATCTATTTATGAAATTTTCTTATAAAATATGAGACTGGTGATGTTTTTTTTTTTGTTTATCAATATTTGTACTATTCTCGTTTTCTTTTCTTGCTACTTTGTTCTCCTCTTTCCCATTTTGTTTGTATCTTCTCTTCTTCCTCTATGGGCATGTCGACAAAGTTATCTGCCTAGATCCGTAATCAAACGCGGTTGTTTTTGTTACAAACTTTTGCACTATCAATGTTTTTTCCATGTGTCGATGGCTATGCCAGAATAAACTGAACTGAACTGAAGTGAACTGATAACCACTGTACAATCCAGTATACTTTCATTGATGCTTTCCATTTTTGAGTTATAGAATCATATGTTCAGAATATGAAACTGAATCTATCCTAAAACTTTTGAGTTATCTGAAATAATTTTTGAATAAAATATGTTTTTTTAATGAAAACTACCACGAACTGATATTTTCCGTAAAATTAATTTTTCACTAGGTTTTTAAATGTCTCTGTAAAAACAAACACCAAAAGATTCAGAATGATTGATTATGTGCAATACATTCCTTTTTAAGATTATCAATGTCAATCATGGAGCATCTAGGAAATCCGATGATTTGCCCAACTTATCTAACCATAAGAAAAATCCACAAACTTTAGATTTTAGAAGTCTGCCTGGTTTTCGAAAGTTCTCCCATGAAACTTAGTTTACAGGGCTTGGAGAAAGATGTTTCAACGTTTTCTCTATCGATTGTCCAAAACTGGAGGTTTCTAGCAATTTTCTTTCAAAAGTTATTTGAAAAATAGTTACCTGTATTCCTTTAAAAAAATCCTAAATATTATATGTTCAGAAAAGGATTGATCTTACTAGGGAAGTTCTTCAGCTGATTAAAAGCTTTTCTAATTAAAGCTAGTTGTCTATGGTAATTCTTGATTCTGACGACGAATCTGATGTCCTTTTAGTCCGTTATTGAGGAAATTATCAATAGAAAAGGGTCGATCTTTAGAGCTCCATGATGAATCGAGAAGCAACATTCTAAAAAGTTTTCGATACAGGCATCTCGATGAGCTATACAAATTGAATGCTGAATCAGAATCTCTTTATTCTTAGATTTATCATACGGCTCTAGAGACTAGATTCGGAAGATCAATTTACCACTCAATAACGGGAATAAAGGACATCAAATTCGTGATCAGAATGAAGAATTATCATAGAAAAACTAGCTTTAATGAGAAAAGCTTTTAATCGCTCAGAAGGTTTCCTCGTCCGATATTTTTTGCATAATTTTGTAATGAAATTGGTAAAGGACCTGCAGTTTTCCCCATAAGGAGATATATAATAATATAATTCCCCTAATTCCACACCCACACCTAATGACATTTACATATGAACAAATTAAGTGCAAAGCGTCACCATATTTATATTTGAAAGATTAAGGTGTCATTCAAAGGAAGGGATATGAGTTTTCAATTTCAACGGAAAGATAGAAACTATAAAACGATCCTCTAGATGCTCTCTTAAATTCGAGTTTCTGTTTTTTAAAACATCTCATAACTCACAGAAAAATTAAACAGATTAAATTTTTCGGCTGCAATTAGATTTGAACGATGTACGATAGAAAATACTAAAACATTGTTGCGAATGTAAAAGAGCTTTTAGTAAATCTTTTGAAAATCTGCTTTTTTCTACATTTAAGCAATTTCAATAACAATTAGTATACTCAACTGGTAAAATCTGAAGTGTTTGTCTCTTAATTATGAGGGTTTTCGTGCTCTTTCACATTTGATTCGTTTATTCGCTTATGCTGTTATGTCCAGATTATACGATGAGCGAAGAAAACTGTGAGTCACATCTTTTTTTCGCACAAAAACAACGATAAACAATTTATTAGCACTCTCCAGCCGGCGATCTTCCAGTACATAGAAAATCCTCAGCGATTCTTCACCGTTATAGAAAATCGAATTTATAAAAATTCAAGTCGATTTTCTATATAGTAGAAAATCAACATTTCTTAGAAAACTGGAAATTCGTTGAGGAGTTTCTATAAACTAGAAAATCCCCGACGATTTTCTATAATATGGAAATTAATTCAAGATTACAGTGTAGGAGCGGCAAAACGATACTAATAGCAAAGAAAGGCTTACTTTCATTTTCAATAAAGCATCGTCATACATTCAAACTTTAACCAAATGTGTCCTAGTAGGACTTCTTGTAACCAAGATTTTGTCTACTTGACTTTTTTCAGTAAGATCTTGGTAAGAAAATGTAAGAATTCAAGAAATTTCAAAAAGTCAAGATCTTGAACGTCTTGTAATTTTTTGACTTCTGGTACTAAGATCTTTGAAATTTTTGAGTGATAGTTTTGTTTTACACTATATGAATCTATGACTCTATATGGTCCTACACCCGATGGTTATGCCTGTCATAAATAAAAACAAAATGTAAAATAATTTTTCACTCAAGTTCTCGCAACATCTTGAGTGGATTTGCTCAAGCTCTTGAAATGTTTGTTTCCAAGATCTTGAGTGAAAGATCCAAGAATCTAAGATCTTGACTTCTTGATGTTGTTTTCAAGATCTTGGATACGAGAAGTTTCACTAGGGCAGGCGGTAAACATGTAAACGATGAAGTCAGTAGTCGACAATCATTTCATTTACTAACAGTTTTTGTTTGATTCATCGAAGTGTTTGTCTTGAGAATGATTTGTCATTATAAAAAATGTGTTAAACCTCTTTCAAGATTAAAGAATTGAAAGCTAAATGAGACAGAAACTAGTCTATTATCTTAAAATAAAACGTATATTCTACTGTGAAATTCTGTAATCAAATAAAAACAAATTCCATTCAATAATTTCGTTCAACATTTTTTTGTAATTAACAAATCTTCTACACACAAAGTAGAAGAAAAATTTCATTTTATATTGAATAACATCATACTGCATGCATCGATCGAATAACATTATACTGTCTATGTAAGAAGAGAAGATCGACTAACTGAAAACAAGCATTTTTCATTTAACTAATCATATCGCATTCATTTACCACAAGATTAAGGTTCAAAAATTGACTATGCTGATCAATCTTTTTCTCTCTGTCATACAATGCCTTTCTTCCATTTACGAATAGAGGCACAATTTTCAAAAGTTTTAGGATATATAATGACTTTCTAACAATAATTCAAATAAGCTAATATTAATTTTGATTGTTTAATATTTTACTTTAATTCTAGATCGAGTAAAAAAACAATTACTTATTTGCTATTAGCATAAATATTTATTTATACAAATTGATATAGAAACCGTACAGTAAAGAGAAACTAGTTCTAGTGAGAAAAATAGCGTTGCTACGAGAGTATGCATGATAAGTCAGAAGGAAAGACAGATGAAATCATGTAAAAAAAGTGACACTTTAAGTTAACTTTCGTTTTGTTATAACTTGACATTTTATATAAGTTGAATTTGATGTTGTTCTAATAATTTATCAATATGTTTAAATTGCATTAAATATTGTTCCGTTGATTTTAAATCTATAATTTCACTTCGATTTCTCGCTGAATCTAATAATAGGCCATTAACATCTTGTGTACCATTTTGAAAAAAGACAAATTCATCGCTATTTGGTTTTGGTAACAATTGATTTAACAACGTTTGTTCCGACAATGATATATTTGTTTGTTCTGATTTTAATTCATTTAAGACACTTTTTCTCAAATGAGCTTTAACATTGTTCAGATATGTTTGAGCATAAACATATTCTTCGGTCGATAATTTTTCCTGTTCGTGAACATATGCC